ATTTTCACCCCTAGAGGACACACACATCCCTACACCAAGGTACAGTCACTCAGGATTTCACTGCACGCCCCCACCTCCCGCCAACGTACACACCTTGGTGTCTGTCCATGGGACCACAGGTGGGTGGTGGGGCGCCACCTAGCGGTGGTCTTTAGAGACGCTTTGAGAAGCTCTCGTTTGACCAGATGTGCTTGGTGGGAGAGAAATTGTCACCCTGGCAGAGTGGCAGAGATGACTCTCAAGGGCCAGGTGAAGGGCACCTGAACTGAGCGGGGAGTCCCTTCAACACCTTGACCAGCGCAGCAAAATGGTGACGCTCCTGTAACTTTCTGGAGGCCACTAGCATGGATTTTTACCCTTAATCTTTGCAACTCATCTGCGACCCAAGAAGGGAAGGTCTTATGAGCCTGTTTTACACACGGACAAGACAAGACTCCGAGAAATACTGCGGCTTGCCCACGTGCCTTACAGGTAAGCGGAGGCGGTGCTCCTAACATTTCATCACACTGGCTTGAGGATGGCGGTGGTGATGGAGTGGAGGTAGCAGTGGCTCCTGTTTAATTCGCAGCATGACAGCTCTGTTAGGTAAGTACAGTCATTATTTCCACTGGCAGGTGAGGAAACTGAGGCTCAGAGAAACGGATGAACTCACCCCAAGGTGACACAGCTTCTAGGTGGTGGAAGAGGGATTTGAACCCTGGCAGTGTGACTCCAGGGTTGAAACTCTTAACTGCTGTCCCTTCTACTGGCTGAGGAAGCCGCTCTTCCCGGACACCAGCAAAACGGATGCTGCCTTCCAGCTCAGCTTACTCCACTTACCTGTAAGCTGAACAGAGAGACTGTGCCTCCATCAACCAGTGACCCCACATCACTCTCCAGTTCTTGCTCTGCTGTGTGACCTTAGATGAATTTCTTGTTTCTGAGCCTTGGCTTCCATATCTGTGAAATACAGAGTTTAAACTAGTTGGGCTGTGAGGGCCTTCTGTTCCATGAATCTGACTTCTATAACAGAATTTCTCCCCTGCCAACAATTTGAATTTGTCCTTGAATCGGTTACCAGAGTGAAAACAATCTCTCTCTCCCACTCCTCTTTTTCTTCTCTACTCTTTCTCCTCTCCCTTCCTCCTCCTCTCTCTCTTTCTCTCTCAATTTTCAGCCTAATTATGGTTAACTCTCTGTTGTTTAGAGGCTTATTATCCAAGCTCATTATGAGTAATTATTCAGTCTGGAGGGGAAACAGCAACACTCCTAGTTTAATTTAATGCTTACCTAGTTCACTTAATTCGCAATAAGTCTTGGCAAAATGATGGGATTTGCAGGGTCCTGCTTGGTGGGTGGGTGTGGGAGGCTGAGCGCTGTTCCTGGAAAGATAAACAAGTTCCAGGGCAGAACGTGGGAGGAGGCCAGGAGCAAGCTGCCAATGACCTGGGCTGTGCTATCTGTCCAGGCCAAGGCTGGCCCCTGAGAGTGGAGGGCCATTACATGGGCTGCAAGGACTTGAGATCAGGTAGCACTTATTCAGCACATGCTGTGTGGGACTTGTATATTCAAGATCATTTAGATAATCTGCTCTTTTTTGTTTTTTTGTTTTTTTACTATGTAAGTTTCAGGTATACAGCATTATAATTCAACCTCTGCATACTCTGCAGAGTGATCACCACCACAAGTCTAGTTACCACCCATCACCATACAGTGGACCCCCTTCACCATTTCGCCCAATACCCAACCCCCTTCCCCTCTGGTAACCACTAATCTGTCCTCTGTGTCTATGAATTTGTTTTGTTTCAGTTTGAAATCATACGATACTTGTCTTTCTCTTTCTGACTTACTTCATTTAATATAATATCTTCAAGGTCCATTCATGCTGCAAATGGCAGGATTTCATTCTTATGTTTATGGCTGAATGGTCCACTGTGTGTGTATACCATATCTTCTTCATCCACTGATGGACACTTAGTTTTACTCTGATAGTGAGTGTATTCTCTTCCAGGAGTTTTGTAGGAATTTTGATTAGGGTGGGAGAGAGTTTCCCATTTGATACTGTGGGTCTTGCATGTCTCTCTCACCCTTTTCATGAAAGGAGGCCCTGATCTCATGACTTTGGGCAACAGAATCCAACTAGAAGTCAGTATTGTTCAGCTCTGACTATTTTAATAGTTTTAATCTATGTGGCAAGTGATGCTGGCTTTCCATGTACAGAAGTGATGTAAAGTTTTCACTGGAGTGAAAAATAATTGAATTGTCATAGAGAAAAATATGTAGGAAAAAGCAGTCAGGGTGGTACCCAGATGGGGAACACTCCCAAGGAGAGAAGAGAATGAAAAAAGTCCTGCCCAGTGCTCTGGGTTAGGGATTCTCCAGCCAGTGGACGAGCAGGCCTCCCTTCTCCTCTCCCGTGCCCTGGGACTGATCGGCAGGGGTGTCTGCTAAATCCTAATGCTGCCCCAGAATCCCTCCCAACTCAGGGCTCCAGGCACCTACCAGGGAGTCGTAGGGGGCCTTCTGACCACTTTCCCAGCCCTCCGCAGCCTTCTCCAAGTTTCTCCCAGGCCCCCCGGCCAAGCCCTACTCGTTCAAACCATGAAGCCTCAGTCCTTCCTGGCACTCCCATAGACCCTTTGCCATCTCATAGACTGTCATTTCCCCTCAGTCCCTCATCGGTCCTCCTGGCCCCCTCGTATACCAGCAGGTAAACTGAGGCCCAAAGGAACGACTCCACAGCCAGTGATCAGAGAGCCACAGCCGTGCTGAAACAGCTTCTCTGGCTAAGCCCTGCTGCGTCTACCCCCGGGTCTGCGCGGCCTTGGAGCCCAGCAGCTGGGGGCCCTGTCCTGGAAGCACCACTCCTGCTCCCACCCCCTTTGATACACCTGTCCCGTGGCCCATCTGAGAGTCAGTGTGTCACCCCTCCCAGCTGACGTTTGTCTTTTTAAAGGGCAGCCTCCACCCAGAGTGTTGGGTGGCAAGCTGGGGTGAGGAGTTCACAGAAGTGCCCATGGTCACTGCCTTCGCCCTCCCCCGGGCGTGTCTGGAGTTTCCCGTCCACATCCAGGTCTCCCTCTGCCAGGACACAGATCCCACAGGGATCCCAGGGCCAAGATGTGGCCGTCCTCAGGGGTTTCCCACTCCCACCCAGCCAGAACTGCCCCGAGACACCAGAGAACAAAAACAAAGACAAAGAGGTTCTGAAGCAAGCAGAATGTCTCTTGTTACACCAGCTTTATTGGTGGCTTGGTGGCCCCTGCAGAGCCCTGCCCACTAGCTCAGGCCAGCTTCTTGCTCACGCGCTCGTAGGTCACGCCTCCAAAGGTGGAGATCTGGAAGAAGCAGCGGGGACAGAGAGAGTCAGTGCGGAGGCCCCAAGGTGCGCATGGGCACAGCTGACGGTAGACCAGCTTCCAGTCCCAGCCCTGAGTGGAAGTCAGTCTGCTGCACCACTTCTCTGGGCCTCAGTTTTGTGATCTGTTACAGGACCCACTGTGCAGACTCAACGTGGCCAAAGTGCTAAACAGATGTCAGGGTGATGTGGCTCTTTGTGGGATAACTGTCCACCTCTGTCCATTTCAGTTCACCCGTGCCAGGAGCTTCCCTTGCAATATCCTGTTTAGTCCTCCCAACGGTGAGGTGTGCCCATTGTACAGATGCGGAAACTGAAGGTTATGGAAGTCAGTGACCCCCTCAGGTCAAGGGACCTCAGTGTCTGCAACATTTAGCATTTAAGGGGCACCTGTGCTCAGTGATGGGAAGATACGGTCCCTGCAGTGACCCGAGGGTGGGCACTGGATTCAGACTGCCAAGCGCCAAGTCCCTGCTCTGTCAAAAAAGCTCTCTGTCCTCTGGCTAATCATTTAGCCTCCCCCTGCCTCAGTCTCCTCACCTGCAAAATGGGGATACAAATCCTTATCTAACAAGGTGATTGTGAAGATAAATGAGATCATGGGCACCCAGCGCTCAGCACAGAGCCTGGCCCATGGGGAGTTCCCGTGAAGCCAGCTGCCCAGAGGGCCACATCTCAGGGACCGTGGCTGGGGGCAGAAATGCAGTCTGATCGATTGTGCCGGGAACCAGCAGGACACTCACCTCCACCAGCTTGCCATCCACCATCTCCGCGGTAAAGTGGTAATGGGGGGAGTCCACCACCACCTTCCCACCCTCCATCCGCACGGTGGCCTGGAAGAGAAGCATGACACAGCTGGAATTACAGAAGCCCTCCCCCCAGACGCAGACCAGCCCCTTGGGGATGAGGGGTCTGCCTGCAGCCCCAGCAATCCCCCTCTTGGAATTCATTTGCCTTATAGAGATCCAATTTACATATATCCAAAGATATAGATAACTTGTGCATGATACCGGACCTCACTGTGCCTCAGTTTTCTCATCTCTGAAATGGGGGTAGTAACTGTACCTTCTTTGTAGAGTTATTATGAGGATGAAGTGATTCACTGTGATATATCTAAAGTGCCTGGAGCAGTGCCTGGCTTGGGGTTGAGGACTGCTTGTTAACTAGGGAGTCAGTTAAGAGCATCATTGTTAGAATGAAGCCGATGTCACCCAAGGGTGTTAATGAATGAACAGCCTAAATATCCAGCCTAGGTTATCCACCGGTGACTAACCTACACGTCTCTCAGTGAGGGGGTGGTAAATAAATGACAGCATCTCTGTACTGTAGGATCCTGTACCACCATTAAAAAAGAATAAGGCAAGTCAGCATGTGCAGACGCAGAAAGACGTCCATGATAAGCTGTCAAATTTCTTAAACACCCAAGTGACAGAATATGACTATTATGACTACTTGTCCTCCCCCTCGGCAGCCTGAGAAACCAGATACACTGGTGGCAGGGCTGGGGGGCCGACAAAGAGGACCCAGAGCCGGTGGAAGCCCTGAGGGGCCGGTCTGGGTTGGAGGGGGATGAACAGCCCCCTTTCCCCACTTTTTTTTTTTTTAATGTATTACTGTATTATGCAATTTTTTTTAAACTTGGGAGGAGGTAATTAGGTTCATTTATTTTTAGAGGGGGGACTGGGGATTGAACCCAGGACCTCATGCATGCTGGGCATGTGCTCTACCACTTGAGCTATACCCTCCCCCCCTTTCCCCACTTCCTCACTTCCCAGGATTTCAGGTTCAAACCCAGATGAGTCTGATTCTAGGGCCTGGGCGATTAATCTCTAGGCCACACTGGAGGCATCATAAAAATGTGCTCATGCTCTCTGGAGCCGGACGGGTGTGAAGGCCTGCCCCTGCCGTGGGGTCCGGGCACTGTTTACTGATCTTGTGACTCAGCTCAGCTCCCCTGTCTGCAGGATGGGATCAGCGTTGTGGCGACTTCATAGGCTTAGCTGCTTTAAGGTGTGTGACGGATTCAGCAGGTGTCTGGGATGTACGCGTGAAGGGTTCAGCAAGCGTTAACGGTTTTTTACTGTCTTTATCGTGTTCATTATTGACAGTAGCATTAAAAACCAGGCGTGGCTAAATTGCCTGTAACGAGCAAGGAATAACGCCGGCTCTTAAAGCTGGAGGCTGGACTGGAAAAGAAGCCTCAGCTCGGGGAGCAGCCCCTGGGGACATGATTGGGACAGAGGAGTGGGCCAGAGGCCTGGGGAAGGGGGGGTGGCCAGCCAGCGGCCTCTCACCTTGAACTTTTTGCCCCCAACGGTCTCCATGTCGCACTCCTTGCCCACGGTGAGCTTGTTGGTGATGGAGTGGCCCCCGGGGTAGAGCTGGGACCAGACGAAGTCCTGCCCAGACTGCTGCACCTCCGTGATGGTCTTGAAGTTGCGGCCCTTTTCAATCGCGTCGCTGGGGAGCCCTGGGCCCGGGGACAAGCAGAGCGGCTGTGTCAGCGCTGCCTACAGCCTGTGGCTTTGGGAACGAGCTTCCCCCCGTCCCCCAACCCCTATGGCGCAGGCTAGACTGACAGTTAAGAGCACAAGTCCCAGTTCTGCCATTCTAGTCTTTTTTTTTTTCTTAATGGAGGTACTGGGGATTGAACCCAGGGCCTTGTGCGTGCTAAGCATGCACTCTTCCACTGAGCTGTACCCCTCCCCGCCCCAAGTCCCAGTTGTGTTGTAAGCCATGTGGCTTGGGCAGGTCACTACGTCTCCAAGCCTCAGTGTTTTCCTGGAGATAATGTGCCCATTTCACAGGACTGTTGCAAGGACTGAATTACCATGACTGTCTTGGAAAGCTCCGGGCATACAGTAAACATTAAATAGTAGCTGCTCCTCAGATAGTCGTATAAAAACAAATAACAGAAGTTCGCCAAGCTCACAAAGTTCTAGGTGGATGGGACCCTCGAAGCTGTCTTCTAATGCTCTTGTTTGATAGGTAAGGAAATGAAGACCCAGAGTGGGAAGGGACCTCTGTGGGTGAAGCCACGTCACTGTTCCTTCAGGGCCAGTCCCAGTAACTGACTTGGAAGCCCTCTTGGCTCCCCAAGGCCCCGGGGCACACTGGCCCCGCTCTTGGGGGCTCCTCTGCCGTCAGGAGGCAGGGAGGGCCCCGGTCCCTTGGGGCCGTCTGCCAGGTCTAGACAACCGTGCTGCCTCACACTTGGCTGCGCACCAGAAGTCCTGCTCACTGTCACTGGTTCCTCACAGCCAGAGTTGCAAATCAAGCAGTCGGAGGAGTGAGGTCCTTGATCTCTGCCCACAGTGCCTAGCTCCGTAAGAGGCCCATGTTTGCCGAACGACTGAGTGAACAAGTGGCTTGTCTCACCTGGTCTCTGCGCTCACCCTTTGGTCACCTCTCCCCAGGCAGGATGTGGTGACACCACTCATCTCATCATTGGGCCCTCGGGGTCTAATGACCTCTGCCACTGGTGTGCAGTGTCACCTTGGGCAAGTCTTGCAGAGGTGCCCCGTCCGTAACACTGGGTTGGCCCATGCATATAGCAAGTGTTCGATGAATATTTGAATGAATAAACCAATCAAGCCTCCACCTCACCAGCGACTAGCTGTGTGACCTTGCTCTAGTCACTCAACCTCTCTGGGCCTCAAGGGGTTTGGGTTTCGGGCACAGAGCCAGCCAGGACAGCCCAGCCCTGGGAAGGTGTTCTCACTCACCCAGACGCTGCATGAACTCGTCGTAGTTCTTCTCACTCTCGGTCTCAAACTTGCCGCTGAAAGCCATGCTGCCGGGAGAGCTGGAGGCCCAAGAGCAGAAGAATGAGGAGGAAGGTCTGTGATGCTGAGAGGTCCGGGGCCTCGGCTTATAAACTCTCCCAGATGCTGAGGGTCAGCACCCAAGTCGCCCCACCTCTCCCTCCTGCCCTTGAAGTAGAAGCATTTGCAGTTTTATGACAAGGGCAGGACCTGGAGGAGCAGAACCCTGAGGTTATTCACCCCGGGGCTGTGCTGGCTGGAATCCCACGGCCATTCCCAGGAAGGCCAGGGCCAGCTCTGCCATGGGGTTTGAGGCGTCAGCCACCTCTGCCCAGCCCTCCCTCCATTCATCCATCCACGCTCTCATCATTCTTCATTTCATCCCTCATTCGGCAACCAAAGTGAATCAGGCACCTCAGCGTGGGGCTGGCACTGAGAAGACAGACATACCCCCTTCCCAAAACAGCTTCCAGTCTGGACCAGAGACAAAACACACCTGCCGAGAACTCCCACGCGAGCAGGATGGGATGCGTCCTGGGAGTCATGCAGATTGGGGGGTGCTGGGGAGGGAGCGATGACGTCCAGCTGGCCGGTGCAGCTTTGCACAGGAGATGACACTTAATACATGTCTTGAGAGAATCATAGGATTTGGTTGTTTAAAGAAGCAGTAAGTTTGGAGGAGGCTGAGAACACAGGCAGGCAGCATTCTAAGATGAGGGAACAATGTGATGACAGTGGGAAGGGCCTCTGGGAAAGGAAACAGTGGGTCTGGCTGCAGCAAAGAGGACTTGCAGGAAAACAGACACCAGATGGGGGCAGAGAATGTGAGCAGAGTCAACGAGTGTGAGCGGACCCAGGGATCCTGAGCAGGAGGTGGTGCCCGGTGCACCAGAGACCTGCCGGGTGCCAGGCAAGAGCTGGGAGCTTGGCAAGTTTTACTCGGGTCCAGCTTCACAGCTGGGAGGACTGAGAGTTCAGACCCCTACCTCCTGTCCCTTGTCTGATTCTGGCACCCCTCTGCACCCCAGGACTCCATCTCCTCCATGATAGCTCCAGCCCTGCCTGTCTGCTGGGACCACAATCTGGATCAAACAGATTGGCCGAGCAAAGTGTGGGGCACTTACAAAGGCTCTCATTCTTCTTATTACTAATTAAGGACAATTTTGCAAGTCTCTGTCTCCTTTTCCAGGGCCGGCTTTCCATGAATCGCCATCGTTTCTGTCCAAAGCAGAATTCACCACCGTTGCTGACCCCCAGATCTGAGGCCCAGTGGTTTCCCAACTGATGAAACCAGCTTGGCCACATTTTGCCAGCCGGCAATCCCCAATCTTAGGATTCCTCCCCCCAGCCAGGGGTCTTATTTAAACACACACACGCACACTCCCCGCCCCGCATTGTCATCATGATTGTCTGGTACTTAAACTATTATATACATTAAAATTTCAAATAATTCAGAGTCCTGGCGGAGACAGTCCTTGATAACAGTATCTACCCTTCTAGACTTTTAAATGCATACATACACTTTCTTGTATAAATAAAGTTATATTGTTCTGTCCCTCCTTTTTTATGCCGTGATGTAAGTACATGTCTACATCATTACATAAAGCTATGCCAGGGGAGGGTGTAGCTCAGTGGTAGAGTGTGTGCTTCACATGCATGAGGTCCTGGGTTCAATCCCCAGTACCTCCATTAAATAATAAATAAACCTGATTACCCCCTCTCCTCAAAAATGAATTTTTTAAAATAGCACCTTTAATAGTACCTTTTTAATAGCTCCAGAGTATTCTATTGTTTGTATGTTTCATAATTTACATAACTACTGCTGGGTCTTAAGGTTGTTCCCAACATTTTTCTATTATAAGTAACTCTGAGATAAACATTCTCGTTCTTACCTCTTGGTGTACATGTCAGGTTGTTTACTAAGATCAATTGCTAGGGATGAATTCCTAGACTTGCAGTTCCTGGAACAAAGGGTTTTTGTAACTATAGCTTATATCTATTACTCTACTGCCTTTCTGAAAGGCTGGAACAGTTCACTCCCACCTAAATCATACGAGAATTTCCCCTCATTGATAATAGTGAGGAAATAGCAAAGACAAAAATAGCTAACACTTACTGAGTGTTTATCATGTGTTGGGCACGACGCTGAACGTTCTGCATGGATTATCTCATTAAATCTTCCAAACAACTCTGTGAAATGTCCCCATTTTTCCAGGGAGGAAGCCAAGGTTCAGAGGAGTTAAATAACTTGCCCAAAGTCACAGAGCCCCTGTGCATAGTTCATATTTACTACCAAGGCAACTTTCAACATCGTTTAAGGGCATTTCCAAAAATCTTCCATAATCCCATTACCCTAACACTGACTGTTTTTTGGTTTTTTTAATTCTCTTTCTCCTTTTTTTCTTCTCTCTCCTTCTCTCTCATCCTTGCTTTCCCCCTGTGGCGAGGGGGGGCAGTAATTAGGTTTATTTATGTATTTAAAAATTTTTTTTTAGTGGTGGTACTGGGGATTGAACCCAGGACCTTGTACGTGCTAAGCAGACACTCCACCACTCCCACCACTCCATCCTTGCTTTCTTGCTCACTGTTATAATTAAGTTAGATATATAACAGCCATAATCAC